CCAGTAACTGTAACGAAACTCTCAAATACGTTCCCTCGTTTCTCCAAAATTCCACGAACCACTGACATTGGTTCCCATCATAGTGAAACGCGTTATGTTGTTTCAACACTTCATGCAACGCTAATGCCAATTTTCAGGCATGAACGTCTCCTGCTACCAGGCCGCCGCATTGTCCATAGCGCAGCCACAGTGCTTGCTGAAAACGTGAGACCTGTATACAGTCCCAGTAGTTCAGAATAGCAGAGATAAAGACTCTTTTCTCAATCCAAACAGCTGGAAAAGACAAACCGCCAGTAACTGTAGCGAACCTGTAGGATACGTTCCCTTATTTCTACAAAAGTCCACGAACCGCTGACAGTGGCCCCCATCACACTGCAACGCGCTGTGTTGCTGCATCACTTCTGGAGACGCTCATGCCACTTTTCATATCAGATCGCTACATGTAACAGGGCAGTAAACCTGACATGTGAGCTGAAGCTCACGGTACGGGCAAGAATATAATTAAACAAATTTATTCATGCAGGGTGCAGTGTTATCTTTTCGTCATCTCGACGTGATCGTTGACCGCGGCAGCCGCCGTGAACATTGGAAGCAACCTGTGGATTTCATTCTGCGCGTTTTTCTTCAAAAAAGCAACTGCAACAGCGTTGAAACAAATATGGCGGTCTGACAAGCGTCCACACGATCCCACCACTCCCTCTTTTTTCTTCGCTCCCCAGATTCGGCCAAAATAAATTGGTTCCAAACTACAGTGAAATGCCGCCGACACAACGGGGCAGCAGTCCATATCAAAAAGTGTGCGAGCAGATATACCCTCTTCTCACGACACCGGTCTAAAGCAGTGCGTCAGCTCGTGAGCTTTTTCTGAGCTACGGTTTATATCTGCCATTTCATCTACGTTTATATCTTCAATCGTGAAGAACATCTCAAAAGACGGGTGCGCGAAAATTCCAACACCACCCATTTTCTTTCCTCGCAGTCCCTTTCCAGAGGTTGGCCAGGCATCCGATCATTGCACCATGGTTATATGTAGCGCTCCACCTGCATTGTCTCTTCCAAAAATGTTGTGCACGTTAGGAATTGCAGCTGCCACCGAACTGCCACAATATCATGCAAACATGAGCACGTGTTCAGATAAAATGTTTCGTGGCACGGCTAATCTCTGTTGTACAACAGTAAGAGGCTGACTTGAGCTTATTTGCTTCGTCTCAAATCGGCTATCGAGTACTACTGCAGATGATAGGATACACATGCACCATATGTTTTTTTCTGTGTTCCGCTAGGGGCCAAAAAAGCGCATGGCTAGCAGTGACTTTAGTAAGGTCCATTTCCTCAGAACACGCCTGAAAATTTCATGGAACGTTCATACTTACTGCGCACTGAGTCTCGCCCCCATCTGTAAGCCTCAGACGACGCAGGATCTTGTCTTTGCTGAGCACTGCAGCTTGTAGCGTCAGGTAGCATTGCATGATAGCAAAGGCCATAGCCATTACAGCCAAGACCAAGGCAAGTTTTGCAATGACAGACACAGAATGCCAGCTTCTGTTCATCGCAGACATGTTTTTTTCCAAATACACTGCTGGGTCATTGCTTGGTATATTCGTGCCAAGCAGTGGCGCAGGCGATATTTCTGTCGCAAGAACACTGCTGACTAGGAGGCCAGCGTGTGATGCGATTGAAACCAGGCACAAAGAGCTTCGCATCTTCGGTATATGACCAGGAAAATTGAAAGACAAATACAAATCGTCTTTGGATTTATCAAAATTCCGTGTTTAGGAGTCAGCTGCTTTTGTTATGTTTGTCGGTGGCAAAGAACGTTGGGCCACGCCGAGTCGCTCCAGAGTCAGAAAGAGAAACAAGAGAAACTATACCTGTCTTTTTTATCGAAAAAACTGAGTTGGGAAACGATATATGCCTGTCTTCAGCGTAGAGAGATGTGGACCATCCCGCTTCGCGCAAAGTCGCTGAGAGGCGCGAGACAGTACGGAGGTGCGACAATCGACATAGCTTTCAAGGGACATCATGCGCTGAACCGCCATTTCGCTCTGAGACATTATATTCCATTTTGAAACAAACAGTAAATTATCCCGTGCCGAGTCACTAAGCGTGTAAGATGACCGATAATCTCTGCTACGTGTCCCTGTAATGCCGAACTTGCGTCGATGCCAGGCAGTGAACCTTTGCAAAAGTAAACAATCCCCATGGGCCGCACAGTTTTGGGACTTTAGCTTATTCTTCAGCGAACAGGGTTGGCTTTTTCTGCATTACTACATACAGCCATAGGCTAATTCTTCAGCTTCTACAAGTCATGTTGAAAGTTACTGTTTCACCGGTCGTGGTCGCACTCGGTACTGAAAAAAAGGCATGTCTATGACGTGAAATAACGCAGAACTTGTATAAAATAGACAATTGGTTGAATAAACACTGAAAGATTCACTTCGAAGAGCCGAACTCCGCACACAGAGTCACTGCTTCGCTGTTATTATTGGGCAGGCGTGCCTTCGTAGTTGATCTTATTACTCAGTTCATTGAAATTTTTGCTGATATACTGAATACATAGCATGCAATGAGCATCCGTTTACAACTGATACTGGAACATGTTGCATTGCAGAGCCCAGAGGCAAGTAGTACCTAAGATTTTGCGAATGCACTAGTGCGAGAAACCTTCTTTAACTGCCATCAACAGATCCAGGAGGCTTGTGATTAACGCATTAAGGGTGCCACAAGGCACGTCACCCTGGATAAATGTAAAAGGAGGCTCTTGATTCGATGCTGCTATATCAAACCATTTCCTTCAGCGGCCCGAGACTACAACCACTTGTTTCTGGACATAATTCATATTTCAGCTCTCGTAAATATCATAAATGTCAAGTAATTTGCCGAATATTCAGACTATTAAATCGATGCTGCAATATCGGGCCGTTTGCTTCAGTTGCCTGAGACTCTGACCGCTCGTCCCTGGACAAAATTCATATTTCAGCCCTCAGAGATATCAGGTATCGGGTACTTTTTGAACAGTGCAGGCTTTTAACTCGAGTCTGCAATACCAAATCATTTCTTTCAGCAGTTCGAGTCTCCAGCGGCTCGTCTGTCAGGAGAATTCATATTTTAGCTCTCAGAAATACCATACATATCGCGTACATTTCCACGATGTGGGCCGCGCAGCCTCACGTGCCTGAGGGGGCATACTTTCGGGAATAGCATGTCGCATTGGCCCGTAGAAGATGCAGCTGCAGACAATTTAACCACTGGTCTATGATAACTCCACCCTATGGCCTGCGATTCTTGCGAAAATAAGGTATAGCTCGGATTCCCTACATAGAGGAGTAATGTAGACCGCAGAGCATGTAGTGCAGAGGCACTACAGTAGGGCTGGCTAGTGTCCTAGAGATGATAGCTAGCTAGCGACCTACAAGGGGCTGCGACACTGGAGGAGGACAGGACCCTCCCAATAAGAAAAAAATAAGAAAAACAGTTAGTCAGTTCTAATGAAAACGTGAAATGTGCGGAAATTGTGTGGAGACTGGGGCTGGCGATAGCGCCGGCACCAATGCGGACCTCCTCCCCTAGGGCCTAGGAGGTGAGCTCCGAGAAGGGAGCGAATCGACGAGACAGATTGGAGACACTTTTAGAACTGTCGTATTTTGACGGAATAAAGCTATAGAGACCGAGAAATGGGGCTATACTAGGTGTAGTATGTAGACCTGTTAGAGGGGCAGGAAACAGCGTAGTCGCAGCAGTAGGCGCCGCGCACTACATTTGGCGGCTGTTCCGGGATTGAAATATTTATTCTTTCCGGACTTGGGAGTAGAAATACTATGTTTCAATGCCTCGCACCTAGAAATCTTTGCTCGATAAGTGATGCACCTCCGCAACGGACGCGTCATCGGTCCCACACCGCAGGAGACTCCTACAATGTCAGTCAACAAAATGCCGAGCGGGACACCAGCCTATCATCGCCACGCGACTCCGAAACCCACCGTGGCAGAGCGGTCGCATGGGCATAAGGAGGCGCCCCCGCAGGAGACACCTTTGCCCAATGTTATGCCAGGGGACAGCCCCTTCGTCACCTGGGACCAATTCCAGTCTTCAATGAGTGTGATTAGAACTGTAATAGGGGGAACCGGAGCATCCGGCGCAACGACTCCTATACTACCTGAAGACGGCAGCACTATGAAGGCCTTTCTGCTGCGCACCGAGCGCCGGTACGCCCAAATGGGATTGGAACCGCGCGACAGGGGAAATGCACTTATAGACTACCTTGTGGGCCCGGCTCTAACGTATTGGATGTATCTACAGGAAGCCATCGACCTAAGCGACTGGGCAACAGTACGGCGCAGGCTTTCGGAGCGGTTTGACAGAACAATGTCGCAGAGTCAATTGTTAACGGAGTTGACAAAGGTACGGTGGAATGGTGACCCGAAGGAATACACCGACCAGTTTGCAGCTGTGGCAGAGCGGGGGCTGGGTCTTGCCCCCGACGAAATCGCGGACTACTATTGCGCCAGGCTACCAACAGACCTCCATCTTCTAATAACCAATGACGAACACGTGAAATATCAGTCGTGGGAACAAGCGGCGGCCCCCTCAACGCGGCTCTACGAGCCCAAGCAGAGTGTGCTGGAACTCCGAGAAAGCATCAGCCGAGCCATTAGGGCGGCCGTCCAAGCTAAAGGACTTAGTGGGCGCCTGGAAATTGAAAATCGTTCTGGGGGAACCCACGCTAACTGTTTCGAGTGTCAGGGTCGCGGACATCCGGCACGTGTCTGCCCTAGCAAAGGGGAACGTACCAGACGTCCGGGGGAAATCTGCAAGAAGTGCGGCGGTGTCGGACACTATGCACGGGACTGCCCTACGTATGAACGAGGCCGGCCCGAGCAGGTGGACAAGGGCAGTAGAGCGCCCACCCGTCCTAGCACTGAGAAGACGGAACGATCAAACGTGCGGGCCTAGGCGTGGGTGGAGACGAGCGTTCTAGGCCGCGTAGTCATGGCAAGGGGATGATGTGTGCGGTAGCGACAGGCCCTAATGCCATTCCAGTCTCCCATGAGATGGGAAACCAACTCCTCCGCACTGCGGGAGGAACTTATAAGAGCGATGAGCGCGCGGAAGGAACTCAGCCGCTTCCGGAAACGCGACGGGAGTCTGGGTCAGAGTCGACCCTGAGTGAAGAGACTTCGGACGCGACGATGAATAGCAGCAGGAAGTCTGCAGAGGCAACAGAAGACGGCAATAGGTGAGACGCGACAGAGATCGTGCCACACTGGTGGAGGGAGACTTGCATGAAAGAGTGTTACGATCAAGGGGGAGCGTTGTGTTTTGCGGGTGCGACGGCGGTACTTCGCGTTGAGCCCGCAGGGAGTCCTTGTGAGGCCCTCTTGGACACTGGGGCTTCGAGAAGTTTCATTAGTTCTAAATTAGTCGAACGACTGCAGCTGAAAGTGCGGAGATAACCAAAAGAGCATAGGTTCGCCATTGCTACAGGTGCACAATTACGCATTGATCGGGTAGTGACGGGATTGACGTTGTGGTGCGGACATACACGTTTTTCCAAGGACTTTTCAGTGGGAACCGTTCCCTACGACTTAGTCTTGGGTTTGGATTGTCTGACGGGAGCACAACGTGGCCTGGTACTTCCAGTCTGACAAACTCCGAACCTATGTGAATGGCCAGTGGTGCGAGTTACCAGTCGTTCGGACTGGTGAAACGACACTGCAAAGGGATAGTCCCACCGTAGTCCACCCAAGGACCCCAGCAGAGCAAGCATACGAGATCTTGGCCAAACAAGTGGCGGGTATGTCAGCCGAGGAGGCAGCTGTATTCCTACGCCCGCCTCCAAGGAGGTATAAGTCCCACGCGAAGACTAAGGCAAAGGCGCGGATAACGTCGCTCGTTCGTCAGGCGGCGGACGACACTAACGATCTCAGGACTCCGTTGCACGGTTTGCATCTCATACTGGCTTTGCCCGAAGCTTGTTCGGCAGTGCCCTTAAGGCTCTCGGATGAATGGCAAGGCGCGCTTTGTTGCGCGTTGATAGGGAGTCAACCCATGTCCTCGGGCTGCCGTAGTCCTTTGGCCTCAACCGCCTCGGTGACAGCGGAGAGTGACGAGGAGTCTCCCTGGCCTATCGCAAAACTCGAGCACACTCTATTCGACGAATGGATAAATTCGACTGAGGCGCAGGATATTCCATGTGGGGTTGCCCAAATGTTGCACGAGTATCGGGCGGTATTTCCCGATACCTTACCTAAAGGATTACCTCCGAAGTGCCCTCATGATCATCATATTCTCCTGTCGCCTGGAAAACTCCTAGCGAGATCTGCAATCTACCGTATGACCCCAGATCAGCTCACTTTCCACAAACAGGAGATTGCCGAATTATCGGAAAACGGTTGGGTCGGACCGACCAATTCGACTATTTGCTCTCCTACGATCATGGTGAACAAACGTGATGATGGCTCCGGGGAGCGGAAGACGCGTATGGTTGTCAATTACCAGGCTCTAAACGCCCTTACGATAGCCCCTGCACTGGATATTCAACAGCAAAGCAGTGGCGGGCGCAGACGATGAGAAGCCTGCCGCGCACTTATTGCCGGACCACCTAAACGATGTACCCCTTTAGCAGGAAAAGAAAAACGTAGCAAGCAAACTGCAATCAGTGTAACGCATATTTGATTTTCCAGGCAAGCTTTCCAGCCGAGAGTCATGGCCATAGTGTTAGCCCTTTCCGTCTCCGGAGCACGCTTAGCAAATTACAGGTAGCAACTCCACCCCGCGGCCTTGAATGAAGATGATCTGGTCCTTATGCTCATAAGTGAACTTCTTTCATGACACTGTTAGTCATCATTGTAGCAAGCAAATACCAAAATGCAGAGTATGGCAACAATGGCTGCAGAAGGAGCACTCTTGTGCAGGAAAGGCGTGCGTAAACAGCGCCCTTCCTTTAATGTGGAACCTTTCATCGGCAAAGTCCCCAGCAGCCTTTGGACAATATCTGAATTACTGCGGCGGGGCTGGAGCCAGCAGTTCTGTAACGCTGTTCAAGTGTACAACGCGCGCCAAAAAGGCTGCGAAGAAGAAGTGGACCACTAGCTTAGGAACCTACGGCATTTCGCAGTATGAGACGCTTTAGAAAGCCGAAAATGTGCTAACTATAGTAAATCTCAATTGGGACTTCAGCAAGTGACCAAGGTTGTCTTCACAAAGGGGGAGCTGAGAATGCGACGCATTCTCAGCTGCCACTTTGTGAAGAGTGTCCCAGCTCTCTGTCCCTCAAATCTACACTACTTAACAGTGTCATCACCTACAGATATACACAACTCTGCCTAGGATAGCTCTCTATCCATAACTCCGGCCGGCAAATTTGTTGCTTTTCTCTCTCTCCAGAAAGTGCCCACTTACAAGAGAGCGTGAGTTTACTGAGCAGAGAACATGAGCCCTGAAGTTCTCCGTCGCTGTCTACCTCGCCATTATAGTAAAGTGTACAAGTAGTTTTGGAAGGTGGGAAACATCCAGATGCGCCCAAGTCTTGAGTTTATTCACTCAAAGAGGCGGAGCTCCGAAGGTGCCCTGACTCTCTATTTTCTCTCCACTTCTCAGTTTTATGGCTAGTCGCGACCCTGTAGCATGCGGGAGGTTTCACTAGTCAAATTGTCATTTACTGTAGACGAAATTTACCTATTTAATGCGCGTACGAGAGCCTCCACTTTTCCATAGTTTAGCGCTTTGCGCTAGTCTGAGTGATCACTAAAACGCCAACATGAAAGCAATTTCCCTCAGTTACGTGCTTTGTTTTAAACTCTGTGTCAAGAAAAACGACACCTTGCAGTGCTTGATTCCTCCCCTTTTTCCTGACGGCGGGTGGCCTTGTCCCAGCAACTTAAATCATGTTCGACTTGGCGACACTTAGTCAGCTGCAGCACAAAGCACCGAGCAAACCTTTTCTCACGGCAGACACTTCTGTTTATGGGAAGCGTGACCGAACGGCTAATTGATGCTGGCTAAAAGTGTAGCAATCATGCTCACGCCTAAGAAGAGCGATATTTCCTTCAGAGAGACCTGCGCTAGGCTCTCGAAGAACGAAGTTCTTTGCTCCCCAATGTATATTTCGGTGCCCCTCGCGAATAAAGCCATGTAATGACCGATTTGGCTAGTGAGGGAATTTGCGGAGGCGCCAAGCTGGACATTTTACGAGGATAGAAAGAGGCAATGCTAAATGAGGTAAAGCAACAAAGAGTTCCGAGGACTTGGAGGTGTTACTGAGCGTGAACTACTTCGAAATACCCAATAAATTGCGTCAAAGATACTTTTCTGCGACGTCTCAAACACCCCTTTTGTCCAGATTGACATGGAAGAGTAAAGAATGCTATCAGGACCCTCGCTCAAGGGCGAAGGCTCTAAGCTCCCCTCATCAGCTGCACACTTTCCTGCACGAAGCAAGGCTACAAAAGTTCCTTTCTCACGAAGATTGCTTGTCCATTACCAAACTGCAAAGCCTAACCATTTTGCGTCCCTCCACTGTCCCTTTCGTGACTCCATTGTTGGTTTACCTTGTACATATCTTTCTACAGGTTGAACGGAAGCAACAAAGGTCGCATATGTCCTTCACCTTGATGCCAATTTGAGGCTTCTCCAGTAGCTACAGCAGGCTGGAGAGCGTTCTGCACTTGCTTCTGTGTTTAAATCAAGTGCTAAACCTCCATCTCAATCGCAAATGCAAAACCTCAATCTCAATCACCAAATGCCCGCGAAGCCTCTCGCCGCTCTGGCCAGCAACTCTACAAGGTCTCAGCCTGGCAGCCAGAGCTGCTGCGTGTAGACTACACAGCGCAGCCCAAGCGGCTCGACTTTGCGCAAGAGGCCTTTACTGAGTTTTGACTGAGAGCTCAGCTGCCTAAACTGCACTGAGTCACACTAAGCTGCAAACAACTTGTGTATGAAGGAGTTTCTGAAGCCGCCATGGCCACCCCACCCCTTCTAGTGTGTCTCAGTGAGCCAAAGTGATATCTGGTCTTCACCAGAAATGCTATTGTTGCGAAGTGCAGCTGCTGCTGCGGCAGCCGTTATTGCTGCTGCTGCTGTTTCTGCGTTCTTTACATTTCGCAGCTGTTTGCTTTCCAAATCAGTTTGTTGCTTCGCAACTCTAAGGACATTGCTGTGGCAGCTGCTGCTGAAGCAGCTGCTGCTGCAGCCGCAGCAGCAGCAGCAGCAGCAGCAGCACTACTCTGCACTCCCAAGGCCCCGCAGCGCCCTACTGACACTGCCTACAGGGACTTTAGCCCTTCAGAAAGAAATTTAAAGGGTCAAGAAATTGCCCGTTAGCCGCCCTGGGCACTGAGGCCAGCAAAGGGGGGTTGCTGTGGCTCTTTGTGAGGCCTCGGGGCTGCCATGAGTGCTTCTGCAGCGCCTCTGCTGCTGCTAGGCAGTCCTAGACGACTGTGCTGCACTGCAGCAGCAGCAGTAACTGCAGCAGCAGCAGCAGCAGCAGCGGCAGCAGCAGCAGCAGCAGCAGCTGCGTAGGCAGGGCGGTCTTTTGTGCCCGGGCGTCTGGGAGTGGCTGCTGGGTTGCTTGGCGTGAGTGGAAGGAGCAGCGCGTTGTTTGAAAAGTTTGTTTTGTAATTTTAGTTATTTTAAGCATAAAAGATTTGGAAAAGTGGCATTTAGGAGGCTGCGTTGGAGGTTGTGGCGGTTGCGTATCCGTGCGCGGCGTCGGGCTGGGGCTCTGGAGCTCTCAAGCCACGGAGTCGCCTCGTGGCGGCTGTTTGCATGCAGAAAGGGGGAAAGAAGGGGAAAAAGGAAGAAGCGGGCTGAAAAGAAGAAAACAAGGAGAAGAGGGAGCGTTTAGCGGTGTTAAGACTGTTGAGAGTGCGCGAAGTAGTCCAGGAAGCCTGCGTCGGTGATGCGTGACGTAAGCTGCAGCAGGATGTCTAAGAGCCACCTTGGCAGCATTCCTGCATGTATTTTCGGGCATTTGTTTCTTTTTCGCGGGACGAAGAAGTTGGTTTATTTGGTTGGGACTTGTTAACTCCGTGCGCACCAGGGCCGCGAGCTGCACGGTGTCTGTACACCTGCGGGTTGTTGCGTCCGCCGCGGCGTTCCCGGGCTCTTTCCGCCACCACTTTTTAAGATTTCCGTCGCAATGCAACAGTTGCACACTTCCGCGGCGACAGTAACTCCATCGCGCGGCGTCTCGGCAGCAGCAGCAGCAGCAGCAGCAGCAGCGCGTCCCGTTCCCGCGGCAGCTTCCGCAGCAGCCACAGCAACAGCAGCAACAGCAGCAGCAGCTTGTTACTCGGCCTACGCCTCCATTGGCTCGGTCTCCTGCCTCCCATGTGAGGCTTCCGGGGTTTATTCTTCTTCCTCTTCCTCTTCTTCTGCTGCTGCTGCTGCTGCTGCTGCTGCTGCTGCCTCTTCCTTGCCTGCTCCCCCGGGGGGCCCCCCCCCGGGGCCCCCCCTCCCCGCTCCCAACCCTCC